TGAATTTTGTAGCTAGCAGTTGCAAGGTCAGTTGCTATACATATCGATTGTAAAGATGTTGTACACAGTTATAAATCATCGTTCTCGCTTGGCCAGGGAAATAAAATGTTTTTCGTATCGCATAGAAGTTTTCGGCGGTTTTAATTTGTGTTTGCAACAGAATCACGACGCAAACCGATGCGTAAGTCTTGAGGTTCATCGATTCTTTTCTCCGTGTAAAAGCAGCCACATGTAATTTAATATGTTAATGTTTGTATTTATAATTCACTTTAAAATCCAGCATACGAGTACAGAGCTTGATTTCAATTTTTGATGAAATTTCAGTTTTTGCATGACGTTTATTATTTTTTTAAATTGTTTAGAATCAGGTACTTGAATTTTTGCCGATGTTCTATAATCGAACTGGTGGTTTAATGTCGAGTCAAAACTACACGTATATGCCATGTTGGGTTCGATTTATAAATGCCACGTCAGATATTAAGAGCTACCGCTTACCGGTAAGGGTTCGATTTGAGTTTAAGGTTACTGGAAACAGTTAGAAAGCACTACAGATTCAGGTTTTATGCGCTGCGCTTAATTTAGCCATATGTACTGCCGCAACGTCATACTTAGATGCAAGTGCATGCGAAAATGTGCGTGACCCTTTTGTGTTATATAGTGAATTTTCAAATTTTCAGACGTACATTCTCCAGCGAAAGGGATCTGAGTATCGTCATCAGTTTCTATACGGCTTAACGGCGTACGGGTAAGAAATGTCAGTGTTAATTAGGCTCATGGACGGGACATATTATTTAAATAGGTACATTTTTATTCATGTTCGTCAGATTTTAAATAGCGTAACAATGTCATCACCTATTCAAAAATATATTAGTGAGGATTATTTTTAATTTCCAAAGTTATTAATTGTGAAATTGGGTTTCCTTATGAGCAATGATTCGTAATTACATATATTTTTAAAAAGTGTTTGAGAGTGCGCGAAAATAAACTTTTTAAGCTGTTAATCAGTTTTCAAGCCTTTGTGGTGTTTTTATATTGTTATAAGTACTGCATATATAAAATCCCTCTACTACATACACCCTCCGTTCTTAGCTATCTGAATGTTGTAAAGAGGTGTGTGTTACACAAAGGCACTGCCCCTGGGCGCGGGCATTGAGTTACCTCCAGTTGGCTGGTCATATATTGGTCTACAGAAAATGAGCACGGGGGTGCTGATGTTCTATTTATAAATTAAACTTACGATTACTTATCGCTCGAAAAAATGGCTCTGCAGCGCTTCCGTTTGGCACCCCTTTTCAAAAAGCTACCGTATTACTGTTAGTTTATGCTTCAGGATGAACTCTTAACCATAAATTTTCAATGCCTTTATGCTGTTCTTACTCTCAGTTTTGGTACTGGACAGATCTGAGATAGAAACCGGAACTTTCTTTGAACTTTTCTGCGCTTTTCCACTTATAGAGGGGTGAATGCTATAGAGAACTTCCCCTATGTTAAAATCCACCGAACAGTCCAGTTCACAGCCGCACGTATATAATGAAGGGGTGGATGTTGTATAAGGGTGTATGTAAGGAGGGGTTTTACTGTACCAGTATGTATGCAAGCTGATGTTCAATGGAAAAGTGCAAAAAGAAATAGTACTTACACAATAGCAGTAATATTGTGTAGCAGTATGTAGAAATTATGATTGCAGTAATGTGTAAGACTTGGATTTTCTATTCCTGTTTCTGTCTCGTTTCAGGCAATAGTTACGATTTCTTAGCTGTTAAACTGTAAAACAACGCTACACTTGAAAATTAATTAAGGGAAGTAGGCCGGTACATGTTGCCAGATTTGGATACATACACGAAAACTACCACTTCCGCGCACTTCCTAACACTTCTTCCATTTATTTTGTTGCATTCTGTGGCGAAATGATTTATATACGTTGGTGTACAAATCGTTTGTGCGCGCAACATCCGGTTGAGAAGTTCTGAGCAAAATAAAATTCTAAAGCAAAAATTCAAAAAGGTGTATCAAAAGTCTCATTATGTACGCGCAACATCCGGTTGAGAACTTCTGAGCAAAATAAAATTCTAAAGCAAAAATTCAAAAAGGTGTATCAAAAGTCTCATTATGTACCGTTGTATTTCAGATTTGGCAGAAAAATGCACATAAGTACAGAGATCGTTTCTACACGCAACCAGATTTTTTAAATGACAAATTTAAAATTATTGTGACAATTTGACATTTTTGAAATTTAATTTATCTAAACATCATGGAAACCTGACTCGTATCACAACGATCTTTACACTTATGTGCCAGATCTTGCGCGCGCAAACGAATTTCACGCTCGCGTATACAATTCTTGGCTACAAAATACCACAAAGCAATGCAAAAAAGTGTTTGGGAGTGCGCGCGCGACAGCGAAAGTTTGTGGGTATCCCTGTACCGAGCCAAATCCCTTAAGGAGCAGTAGATGGCGCTGTCTCGTACGTATCGTCAAACTTATGTTTTCTTAGTACTTACTTTGCACTTCCATGTGATACTTACTTAAGTTCCACCATATCAAATATTAAATAATGACAGGAACCATTATTTACATATTTATCAAGTACTCAATTATTGATGCAATACGTAAACTGCAGTGCTACACAACGATTTAATGTATTAGTGCAAGGCCCTTAATACGAGGAAAAATGCACGGTGCCGTACATATGGCAAAAGCTTTCCGAAGTGGCAGTTAACTTCTTAAATTATAGCAGTAATAATTATAGCAGTCAATTATAGCAGTTAACTTCTTAAATTATAGCAGTAATAATTATAGCAGTTACTTAACATAATTTTTAGTAAATTTATACTTAAAGCATCAAGATATGAAATACATACAAACATCTCTGACCACCAACCACGCACAATAAATTGGTGTTGTTTTGCCACAAACAGATAAAAATTTGCGCTATCATGCCAAAAAGGAAAAGAAAACCAATCGACCGAAATGAAGAAAATAGGGCCACTCGCAAAACAAAATATGCTTCGGAAAAAGCCAAAATGGAGAGCTCTGTGAAGCGTATCTTGGGTCCATTAAAAAAAGTAACACAATCAGTGAAATGCGTTAAGTTTACCCAAATTTCTAAATACAATGAAAAATTTACTAGATCACAACAAAGTTGTGCGACCGTTGTGGCGCAATGCTTTTTAACACTGATTCTGCGTCAATGTGTTGCGGAAAGAAGTAAAAAATCCCCAGGAACGGTTATTGATTTGCCAACGATACCAGAGGCCTTTCGTCATTTATATCAAACAACACCACAGCTGTGCGAGAGAAGCCGAGCATACAACAATTTGTTTGCCTTCTCTGCCATTGGCACAACAGGTGAATTTATTAAAAAAACGGGGGGACCGTCAAATTTGATTCTTCATGGACGAACTTATCACCGAATGCTAAACGGTAATATAAAACAAGGTTTTTTAAACAAAAAAATACCAAACGCATTATTTATGCCTTTGATCAGGATCGGATGCAACTGGACCATTGCGTTGGTTCGTTAGCGACGCTACAGTACCAAAATCTATAGGAGCTGATCAAAAACTTGACCCAAATATCATAGAAAGTCTTCGGTCTATTTTTGAGGAACATAATTACTTTTGGAAAAGATTTAAGTGCATGTCAGAAAATCCGTCTCAAGAGATTCGAATGGAGCTAACGGTTTCTGCTACTCGAGAAGTAGCAGCACTTATCTGCGATGACACAAGTGGTGATTTCCAACAAAGAGCAGTTGTGTGTTGGAAAAAAACCGAAAATCAGCCGACGTTTATCCAAACGTCTAATGCAATGTATTTCCCATTACAGTATGTGCTACTATATCCGTGCGGTACCCTGGGGTGGGATTTAGCTTTAAAGATGACGACAAAGCTTACTTTATTACAATACTGTCGACAGATGATAATGCGACATGAGCCACTTCATTTCTTTGGACCGCTGATGAACGAATATTTAGTAGATGGTTTTAGCGTAATTGAAGAACCACGCTTAGAATTTCATAGGGCATCACAAAAGATTTGTCAAAAGCAGGAATTGCGTGAATCTATGGCTGACGGCGACGATGTTGGGCGTACGTTTCTTCCATCTAGCCACCTCCATTCTAAGCGAAACATGCAAGACAATACTGCAGATGCTTTAGCCATTGTCGCAAAATACGGAAAACCAACTTACTTTATAACCGTAACGTGTAACCCGAAATGGCCTGAAATAACATCCCAACTGAAGCCTTTTCAAGATGCCTCAGATAGGCCAGACATCGTTGCAAGGGTTTTTAAGGCTAAGCTGCAAGAAATCTTTGCTGATCTTCCACGTGCTCTTGGGGGTGGTAAAGTTGTTTACCGGATACACGTAATTGAATTTCAGAAACGCGGTCTTCCCCATGCGCATATTGCCATTAAAATGGCAAGAGAACCTCGCACAGCTGATGAAATTAACAAAGTTATTTCGGCTGAATTTCCCAAAAGGTGATCCTGAACTTTGTGAAACTGTAAAACGGCATATGGTTCATCGTCATGTCGAAGAACGCTGTTACCGTCAAAAAGGTCATCTTAATGTTCCCGACGGAAATGGAGTGGTCAAGTGCAAAACCTCTGTGTTGCGTTTTACCCAAAACCAATTAATAATGTCACTTTTATTGACGAAGCAGGTTTTCCGCATTACCAGCGCAGAACCGAAGACGATTGTTATGTGGTGCCCTATAATTCACATTTGCTGGTGAAATACGACTGCCACATAAACGTCGAAATTTCCCATTCAGTCAGAATAATAACCTACCTTTATAAGTATTTTTATAAAGGTCCAGATTATACCAATGTCCGGCTATCCAAAGGTGACGAAATTGCGGAATACTTGAACGCGAGATACATTTCGGCAGCTGAAGCAGCCTGGCGTATTAATGAATACGATACTACGAAACGGCTACCTTCCGTTGAACAGTATCCTGTTCATCTTCCAAACAGAAACTACGTGGTGTACAGTCCGAACAAAAAAGAGGAAAAGATCAACCAGCTGTCAGCCTTAGATAAATATTTTCAAAGACCTGAAAATGAAATCTTTGATGCTTTAACATACATGGATTTTTATTCAGAATATGTTGTCAATACAAAGAAACCAAAGTCCGTTGACAACGTTAATGAGTGCCAAATGTCAGACGGAAAAACCTATTTTATTTACTGTCGCAAGACCGTCCATGTGCCGCGACTGGCTTTAATTCGCCCACAAGCTGGCGATGTATGGTACTTGCGCCTATTGCTAAAGCACGTACCATCAAGATCGTATGAACAGCTTAGAACAGTGAATGGTGAAGTATGCGAATCGTTTGCGGATGCTGCAACTAAACTGGGCCTTTTCAATGATTCAACTGAAAGCAAATTGTGCATGGAAGAAGCGATTGCACAATTTTGCAGCCCAGCGCAACTTCGTACACTGTTTTTTCTCCTGGTAACAGAAGGCGCTCCCGGACCATCGTTATATGAAACCTTCAAAAGTCATATGGCAGAAGACTACCGACTGAATCAGAAATTATCGGAATGGGAATCTGAAAAAAAGTTGTTGTCTGATCTGTTTGCAAAATTTGATTCCGCCGGTAAAAACATGAACGATTTTGGGCTGACGGAACCTTTCAGTGAGAAAAACATGGTTGAACGAGAAATAGCAAGATATAATCCAGTCCAGAATGAACTCGAACACGAGCATTTGTTATCAATGTTGAATAACGATCAACGCGAGATATATGATTATGTAGTTAAAATGCTGGAGACAAACAGCGGCGGACTTCTATACATTAACGGCGCTGCTGGTAAGTACTGTGCTATCAACTACCTGAGCCAGAAAATAAAGCTATTGAAATGTTTCAGGAACGGGAAAAACTTTCTTGGTCAACTGCATAGCAAACTTAGTACGTGCACAGGGCAAAATTGCATTGTGTTGTGCCAGCACAGCTGTTGCAGCATCAAATTACGGAGGCGGCCGAACAGCTCACTCGATGTTTCAAACTGCGGTTGAAAACAACGGAACAGAGCAAAAACTGGAATGCAACGTGCCTATAAAATCACAGAGAGCAGATTTATTGCGAGCTGCTTCGGTCGTTTTTTGGGACGAGTTTGTTATGAGTCATAAAAAAAATTTTCATGCAGTCGATGAAATGCTTCAAAAAGTTAGACGCTCTGCTGAAGTGTGTGGAGGAATTCTTTTTATTGGAATTGGTGATTTCCGACAAATCCCTCCTGTTATCCAGTATGGATCAAGAACTCAGATCGTTGAAGCTAGCATTAAGAGCTCCAAATTATGGAAACTTTTCAAAACGTTCTCGCTCAAAATATCGGTTCGACAGCAAGCGGACCCGGAATATGCAAAGTATATTGCGCACTGACATCCTTTTACGAACATTTGTTAAAAAAATATGTTCTTAGATTGCTTGACAAAGTAGGCGACGGAACATTCGAAGAAGATGAAGAAAACTACGTTGTTCTTCCTGAATACCTCAATTACACTACTTCAGTTGAAGAAGCAAAAGCCTTCGCTTACCCAAACTTGAAAGAACAAAACCGGAAAATACTTGACTCGGCGATATTGTCTTTGCGAAATTATCAAGTTGACGAACTGAACGCTGACATTTACAAAGATCTGGCCGGTAAACCCGGAACGCTTTACAGCTTTGACGAGCTTAACTCCGAGGGATCCGCTGGTTGGTTAAAAAACGTTTTGTGTTTAAATTAGGCAAATATTAACTTTTTGCAGGCTATTTTGATGAAGAGTTTAATGAAGATTTTTTGCACTCACTAAACGAAAACAACGTTCCACCCCACGAGCTGAAAGTTAAAGAAGGCATGGAATGTTATCTCCTTCGCAATCTTTCCCCGGAAGACGGGCTTCTGAATAATGCCAAAGTTATTATCCTTAGTTTCACAAGAAACGTTATAACAGCGAAAGTGGTATCAACCGGCAAAACAGTCTACATCCCAAGAATACAGTTTACTTTGAAAATACAGAAAAAAAACTTTGAGATGAAGCGACGTCAGTTTCCAATTAGAGCTTGCTACGCTCGGACTTTTAACAAAGCGCAAGGAGCTACGCTCTCAAAATGTGTGCTAGATCTTCGTGATGTTGCCTTCGCACACGGGCAGCTCTATGTTGGTTTGAGTCGTGTCAGACAACGTGATGATATTTTGATATTGTTGTCTGAAGAGCAAGTGCAATCGCTGTTTCCACTACGCACTAGAAATGTGGTTTTTAAAGAATTATTAATATAAAAGAAATTACGCTATTCAATTGCGTGGAACGTAGTTGGGAATAATATCCCAAATATTATTAGCATAGATGTAATTTTATGAAGAGCATACTGTTACCAAATAGCGCCGTACTGTTAAAAAATATCGAAGAAATAACTCATACGTCGTGAGATATTAGTATTTATTAAATACATTAAACACGTGAGTACACACAGGAATGGACCTTACCTATGGATTATTTGGCTCTGCTGTAACGCCAAAAGACGCAATTGTTGTGCAAGTTACCGTGAGTTTACAACATGCATTAAAAATGTGCATAGACTATATACAACAGCATCTCTCAAACAGGAATTCCGGGAACCAAAATCTCTGGTTCTTTGGGATGGCGTTAACGAACAATCCGCTCAGTACACGCCAGGAACTGGAAAACCAATACCAGCTGCTGGAAGTATTATCAAGATCACTTCAAACGGATTCAAACGGTTAAAGTATTGACGAAAATTGCATCAAAAACTTTTTGCAAAACAACAAGACGCTTATTAAATACAGTATTTTAAGCCAGTCTTTCGATTCTCAGACAAAAATGGATTATCGCAAAATTTGAAACTGTGAAAGATGGTGAAAAGGAAAAGATCGAGAAAATTATGGCGCCGACACCAACTACTTCGAAAACGGCACCCGTTCAAATTCCTTCCCCCGTTCCATCATTATCAGAGCTTCCCGAAGCCAGAAAAATAATTCCGTGAATAATTAATAAATTATTTTGTAGAAATGAACAACTAAACAGAAAACTTCCTATTTAGACTATTCCGTGCAATGGTCCAGAGTGTTGGCAATGTTCAACCAACAAATAACAATCCCGACAAAAAAATCGCGCGTCTAGTTTTGGCCGATGCAACTGGAAGTATCAATATGGCCTTTTTCGAAAAACAAATCGCACAACATAAAATTGTCGAGACATTTCGACCAGGAATGGTAATCTCATCCTGTTAAACGCAAAACAGACTGACAGCTTAGCGAATGCTTTTTAAGGCACTAGAAATCCGCAATGGCACTACCAATGAGCCAACTGAAAAGGATTATCGCTACACGGCTACTCTGCGAACCAATTTTTGGGTGACACAGTCCGTACTGATCGACGTCTTAGACAACTGGGAACCGATGCTGCCAGAGTGTGCCAAAATTAAGCAGATATTGAAGCTGAAAAGGAGTGTGACATAAGTACGATTTTACACGTCAATTATTATTTAATTAATTGTCAAATAATTATGACGCCGTTCGTCAGATATTCTGGGATATGTCGAAGCAGTAGAGAAGTTCGATGGATCACAACGAACACTGAAGCTGAGAGACAATTCTTCTGATGATCAACTCACCGTTGTTGTTCCCAAGGAATTTGTAATAACATTTTAAGCGAAACCATTTGTTTGAGACGTACAGTTCACTTTAATAATATCATTTTAGTCGTATCAAATCCAACCCAACGAATACGAATCTAAATTCATCTTCTTTGGAAACCTGCATCATGCTGATGGAATTGTCAAAATGATACCACAAAAGACTGTATACTGGCTGACACGCAATAGCATGGCAAAAGCAATCTTCGAAACTTTTGTGAAAGAAGAATTGCTTGAACCGAATTCAATGAGCTTCCTCGACGAAACGATGAACGACATCGAAACCGATACCGTCTCTCTCAACAAGCGCAAATCAAAAGACTCTCACCAGTCTTTGGATTCCAAATCAGCTAAAACGCATTAATAATAACTTCAATCGCTGTACAATATTCCGTACAAAGATGCATGTTTATCCGAAATTATAACAATACGATCATCTGATACCGACCACCATGTACTACTCTCTTAAACTCATTTTTGCAAGCCTGGCTTAAAATATTGGTTAATAAATTAGTACATAGAAAAAAATTTTCAATTGAATTTAAAATTTTAGAACGCTGCACATATATCATGTTATACCAGAGACACGAAAAACTGACTCAACTATGGTGCAAAATAGTTTCGAATTTTCAGCGCTTCGTTGCTTGCATTTTGCAGCCCGTAAGGAAAGCTATATTAGCAATTCGTAAGAATAACTAAACCATGCAAGCAACCAATTAAGGAAACATCGAATACTATTACTGCATTTTTAAAATTCAGTGTTTAAATTTTTGTTCTTCGAGCTATAGCAGGATATGTCGAGCAATCCGTAAGGACAGCAGTATTAGATTTCCGTAAGGAAACTAAACTACATAGCCTGCTTATTCGCCGCGAACGAGCAAAATATTCCAATGAGTTCTCATTAAGAATAAGCAGGTTACTATCGGCAGTCCGTAAGGAACGCTACATTAGCAATCCGTAAGGAAAGCTAATCTAAATAACCTGCTTTTTCACCGCAAAATAACAAAATATTTCCCTTAAAAGTAAATACCAGAACAATAATAATTTATTGTATCCTTTGGTAAAACGTAGGCTATTTGCAACAATCCGTAAGGAGCGCTGCATTAGTTTTCCGTGAGGAATCTAATCTAAATAGCCTAATCAGCACCGAAAAGATACAATTAAAAGTAGAATTTGTTAAATACATAAAATATGTAACTATGTACAGTAGTGTTCTGCAGTTTCTAATTAGAGATACAGAGAAATTTAACTGCTGTGACCAGAACTTCCTGTACTTGCTACCGTCAGCATGCTGGAGTTTTACGTTGCGGTTGAACACGGGGCTTATGTACCGTGCCTGATTTAACCGTCGAGCATGTTTTGCCATAACGTTACACTCCACGCGGGTGACGGAATCAAGTACAACGAGTGCTGGCCTGTGCAGTTAGATTTTCATAGTACACCAAAATAATGTCCACCAAAAATGCGAAATTTTATGTAGACTGCACTTTATGACTTTCAGCTCATCCGTGCATACTATAGTTGAACACAGAAAAATTTACAATTACATATTATTTTCTGTTGCAGGTATCAAAACAGAGCACATATGGATCCAATGCAAATTCATTTTCTGGTACTGATTCAATAAAAAAGTGTATTTTATGCAAGTAAAACCGAGTTTCGAGTTATACCTAGTTACAAAAGTGTAGAGTATTGTAAGCCTTAACCCAGACAAATATAATAAGTATTGGTTAATAATGCACAATTGTAGGTTAATACCATACACAGTTGGCTGCTACGCTATTAGCTTACGGAATTAAGTACTGATCCGTTTAAGTCGTACGAAGAACTGACAATATAGAGGTTAATTTTTCACTAGCTCCAAAGTTTTACTGCTGTTATCTGTGGCTCTTCCTCAAATTCGTGACGTTTAGCGCAACACCGCTTCAGCCACGACAATAACTTGCGCAGTTACCGTAAGGCCTGCGCACTTAGTAAAGCAATGCATATCCGAGTTGAGTTGCGGTGCACGTACGTACGTGCTCTGTATCCGCTAAGCGCGGTGCGACGGATGCACAGTTAACTACAAGCGCATTTGCTTTAAATTTTGCGCAGCTGCAATTTTAACAGTCTTAAAATTTAAATTTAACAGTGTAACAATTTAACAATTTTACAAGTGTTAAATTTTAACAGCGATCATCGAAAAAAAAAATTAACCTGTCTAATCGCTAGAACGACTGTTAACTGTCGGTCGAGTACATGATCACTGCCACATACAGCAAGCACTGCTGTGCTAATACTTACCATAGTTCTCAGACTTTGTTGTCCCTTTTAATAAATATTCTAAAGTTTCTTTATCATCAGAAGATTTCAGATATTTTTAACATATCATATTGAATATGGAAACCTTATTTTCAGGCGTTAAAAAAAGGACAGAAAAGAAATCGGTTGAAAAAATGAAAAAACCGTTGAAAACTGGCATCTGTCACCATGGCAGCCGCCCTACCGTGTACTACCGCCCTACCGTGGTACTGCACTAACAAACATTAGGTGGTAACATATACTGTACTTGCTATGCACAGCAGGTTTCGCAGTACATTTTTCTACTTGCTGTAGATACTTTAATTTTTTTTCGTTGAAAAATTACCCGTGCACGCAAAATTGAAAAATTATTGAAAAATTACCCGAAATTATTGAAATTATTTATTGAATTATTGAAAATTATTGAAAAGGAAACCGTTATAGGCACCCCCTAAAACCCCCGTTTATTATAGGCACCCTTTTCACACCCCGTTTATTATAGGCACCCTTTTAAATTAATATGTTATATATAACAGATTCAGTATTCTGAGATAGTAATGCAGTTTTATTGGGATAGTAGTACAAAAATTTTGTCTGGCGTCGAGGTTTTCATCCTTCTCAGAAGACATTAGCCCAATGCCGCCGGCCTTCCTCTTCCATGTCGGTCCTGCACGACAACGGCGTACAAGCAATAATTCTCGGCGTTGATTTTGTGAGTTCCATCGATAAAGCACAAAGATGGACAGTCCTGGTAATTCTTCCGTACGTCCACCACGATCCACTTTTTCCGCTTTATGGCGGACATTTTCGATGTCTTGGGCTGTTACAGCTTTGCCGGTCTCTTTAGCAGTTCGACGTTGAATTGCCCGTACAGGGATGAATGATTTCTGCATTTGTACTACCTTCTCTGCCTGATCATGGCTTAGGCGACGATTTTCCGGTAGATTTTTCCACCTGTTTTCGTTCTAATATTTGTAGGACGTGGCCGCGAATGCTGGCTGCCAGCCTGACGCGAGCTGGGCACTGGTTTCGTCGGCTATGAGTGAATGTCCGGCCCCGACGCCGGAGGGCTGCTTGAACCCGCCATAATATGATATTTGCCAGTATTGAGAACAAAATTATTGATACATATGTAATTTATATTTATGTGTAAACCTGTTACACTGACCTTTTGTCCAAAGTAAGTTTTTACGGTCATAGCAACTGCATAAAATAAATAGAATAATTTCTGGAATATATGTAAATTATATTCTGTTCACATAATATTATTATTCCTATTAATTCAAAAAGGGTGCCTATAATAAACGGGGTGTGAAAAGGGTGCCTATAATAAGCGGTGGTTTTAGGGGGTGCCTATAAGGGTACCCTATTGAAAAATTACCCGTGCCGTGTTTACCCATGCACGCAGCCATAATGTTATTACTAATAATAATATTCATAATTATTATGAAAAAGAAAACAGCGTACACCACGTTTTACCACCAAAGTCTCCGCACACAATTTTTCACCACCACCTAGCTCCACACACCACTATACATATCACGTTCTGTCCAGTGTACAATTTTTGCGACACCACCATGTATGCAACAGCATATACTTCTAATTTCGATCACTATAGTGGTCTGTTTTGTATGCTTTTCATATGAACTATAAACCGTATTCATACGAACTAAAAAATTATGAATTTTATGAATATTTCAAATTTTATTTTTTGCTGCATTACCGACTGCACAATGAATGCCGGTTTTAGCCTTTAACAGTAGGTCATACATTCCTCTCACAGAGGGTAGTGTTTAACCACAGAAACGTCTGAAGGGCTGGCCAGAAATTTACTATCAAAACCCTTGCTTATGAATTTCTTTTAAAAACTTTCAAAAACAAATTAAGATAAAAACAGACCTCTGCCTAACAGACGGATAAAAGGATCATTCGCCACTAAACGTATACAAACACCTGAACACCTTTCTCCTAACACGATTTTATGAATTAAATAATTTAAAATTATAATTTAAAATTTCTGTAATATATTTATCTATATTTTATAATTATAATAAATTTAATAAAATATCAACATTTTATATAATAAAGGTCAATGAAGTACACATTAGTACTGTTCTTTACAGAGGGAAAACCGCAAATATCCCAAAGAACATTTCGAAGTTCACCGTAGAGATTACGCAAGTGAGAGCGGAAACCTCTTATGTTGTGGACCACAAGATGCAACCGTTCAGCTGTTTACTGACTCCCTAGGAAGAGTTTTTCTAAGCAAACCTCATGATTTTTACATCAACAACCGAGTATACATGTCGAAATCAAAAATTATCGAGGGGCGTTCAGTTTTATGCTGTACCAGAGCGGGTGGGACTATATGTGATGTACTGGTTGATGGCCATCGCTTCGGGAAACCAAATATTCCAAACTGTACACGACTAGTTCGTGACTGCGTAGTCTTATGGGCCGGAACGAACAGTATATTGAATTGGTCTAACCAGTACCGTTATCGGCAAAAATTATACGCGGATGGAGAACTTTGGGGCGACAAGATACAGTCATGGTATACAACATATAGCGGCTGGATTCGATACAACTACGAGAACACCAAATCGGTAGTACTGGTTGGAACATACAAACAGCGCACAGAAGCTATCAAAGAAAAGCAGGAGTATATCGAACTCCAAGATTTTCTGGTGGAATCATTCAACGGGATGCTAAAGGACATTGCTAAGAACACCACTATCATGCCAGTCGAATATTGCGAGATGGCTGATTACTTTCCACCTGAAGAAGCGATGACGAATGATGGCTTGCATCTCGATTATTATAATCCTATGATACCTGGTACAAACTGGTTGGATGAATTCAATAATATTCATAACCAAAATCCTTGGAAAGCAGTCAACCGAGTTCGAAATGCAATTAAGACCTGCTTGAAAAAAATTTAAATGTCACCAAAACTTAATAAAAAAAATATGTTTATGAATCATTTTATATATTTTTAAAAATTTCTTTGTGCGTGTACAGCATAATGTATAAAGGGAAGGACGTAATGCATGGAAATATATTAGAATTACCAAAATGTAAACCTAGAAACTCCGTGATCAATTTTACAAAGTTAACCAAGATTGATGTCACAACTTACCTGACCCTACTCGTAAGAGGAATGTCTGGAAAAGTTGTGACAAAGTAGTGCAGTTCCGAAACATTAATTCAAACTCAAAGTAGATACAGAAAAAAAAATAAAAATCCTACAAAATATTTAATAATATAGAAAACATTGCTCACATTATTAATACTACATTATTAATATTAATATAATAACCAAAAGGCAGCGAATGTGTTCTACGTTCAAAAACAAACCTAAAAATATTAAATATCTTTTTTAAAATATACAGTTCATACTACATAGACAGATATAAAACACTAATAACTTTTTTAAACAAAATACTTACAAATATAAGAAACATACCACTATTTGCTAATAAGTACTATATTTTAATGTTAATATAATATCCATATTTTATTTTAATTTAAATTTAAATTTAAAGTTATTTTAAAATTAAAATAAACAATTAATTTAAATGAAGTAAACTTAATTTCATTTAAATTTACATTTCATTTAAATTTTATTTCCTTATCTTCAGCAAGCCATTTAGAGCACAATTTTTAAAGCTATATTTTTAATTTTTCATAAAATAATAACATTACATTTCATTTTTTTTTGAAAAAATTCCAAGTTAGTTTTGTAATACGAAAATTTTGAAAATTTTTGACCCTTCATTACTGGCGGCCTCCCCGTGGCAAGGGTTGGTCATACATAGCAAACGGCCAGTTACAAAAAATTTTTATAAAATTAAACTATTTATAAACAATATTTATCAATAATATAGTGTTTAACAATCCTCCACAATTCACCATTAATAAATACATAAATTTAAATTAACAAAATTACCAGTTCTTGCAATCAACGAACATGCAGTAATCCCATGCTCGCAGCCAACATGGGACTACTGCATGTTCGTTGAGTGCAAAAACTGGTAATTTTGTTTATTTAAATTAACAAAATTAATTTAAAAAATTAATTTTGCAATTTAATTTGCAAAATTAAATTACAGTAAATTACAGTACCGCTAAAGTGATTTTTATCGAGTTGGGTTTTGTGCCAGTAGGCATTCGTCTGTCACTGTGCGAAGTGCGAACCTATTATAAAACAGCTGCTCATTTTTTATTACTGTTATAACGAAGCTAAGAGCACACGGTCTCTCACAACTGAAGTGTTATTGCCCTCTTTTAATTATACGAATACTAAACATCTCTAACAGGTGTCCAGCCTCTCCTCATTGTCCCGCCTCTTTTCAGCTCCTACTAATCCGATTTTCCTGCTTCAAAATATTTTAAAATTCTCTCAGTATAAGTACATACTGAAATAACTACAATATTTATGGCTGTGGTATTTAAATTTTACTTATTTAAATTTTTTACTTTTACTCGTTCACAACTGAAGTGCTAATGCCCTGTTTTATTATCAGTACTTACTAAATACACTGTAATATTTATGGCTACCTCTTGATCGGTTCAACTTATACAAGTCTTACCTAAAAAAACTACCATTTTAAATAATAATTTACTAATAATACTTACCACAACTATTTCAGTTAATCATATTCTATCACGACTTTTACAGTTCGTGTAATGTCACATTCATCTGTCGATTATGCTGATAAATCATAACTTTCACTTTGCAAACAGGTTTCGGTAATAACTTTTTTGTGAAGCAGTTATATTTATTATATTGCTATATTTGCAGTTATATTTATTGGATTATATTAACAATAGCATATCAACGTAATTTAGGTACACAACATACTCCGTATTGCGTAACATGAGTTCACTATACTGAGTGCTCTCTTGCTATACGCGATGCGAAGTGGTTGTACAATGACCGAAAAACAGATTAATATAATAAGAACACCAACATTAACAATCTGACCTAAAAATTGACTAACTCTGCACATTACTTTAGATGTCGGTAAATTCCTCAGCACTGCGTACATAATGACAACGAAAATTTCAACACAAACCGCATTTAATTACCGCTAAACCTCCGTTCGTAAATTCATTTTAAAACTGCTAAAACAATTACTTTCTGTAATTCTAAAAATTCTCAACCGAGGCCGTAGGCCGAGGTTGAGCTTGTAACAACAGAACTGACACAAGTGTGTGCAATGCTTCCGGTTTCTGTTCCCGTGACTCATATTCCTCATAAATATAAATTCTAACAATGTTACACAAGAAAATTAACATAAGAATGAAACGCACTAAACTTATGACAACATAAGAATAAAAAATAAAGATAACATGAACGCAAAATAAAAATAAATAACACATGAAATACAGTATAAGAAAAGTACATAACATAAAAACAGAAGAAAAGGCAATCCAAACATGAGAAACAAAAAATGACACAAGATTTAACACAGAAGAACAAAAAATTAACAATCGAAGTAACTTAAGAAAACAAGAAAATGTTATATAAGAAAAATAATATGAGAAAAAATTAAAATGAAACGAAACACAAAAGACGCAAGAATGGAGAATGGAAAATTACCTATGAACCAACATAAGAAATACGAGAAAATTACCTATGAACCAACATAAGAAATACGAGAACCTAGCAGTAAGAAATGTAAATTTTTGAATTCAAAGTCAATGAACCTGCCATCGTGAAGGTTGCGATGCGGTCTCGCAGCCAACGCACCAATCGGTGAATATTCCTGGTGTAATCATGCCTTACGTAGTAATGCCTTTACAAATCTTTACTTTTCTTCAACTCGTGCCAAACCGATACTGGCCGCATCTATGCGGCCATCTCACTGCAGAAACTATTGAAACAAAATGCTTGTGCGCCGCCCTTTTAAATTTCGAGCAGTAGCAGTAATGAGTGTATTGATACTACTGGCTTTTTTATTGTTTTTCCGTGGTACATACCAAACACAGTTTGCACATGACGTCCGCTCCCGTTGTAGGTCTTTTAACCTCGATACATACAAACGTAACCCATACAGTTTGACGGTAATGCAAGTGGGTAGTTCATTGGCATGCAGAGTTATTGCAGCGAGACAGCAAACTGTAGGAAGTGCACAAAAGCATTGCGGCATGCCAAGTTCGGTGGGCTGTAGTAGTGAAGTTTAACTGCCGCTGACGTCTCCGGCTGCAGGCTGGTAATTTGGAAGTGTCCACGCTGACATGCAAAGGTCACGGTGTCGGGAACACCGTCCGTATTGGGATGGCTGAGGACTGGTCGATAGTTCTCCATCAGCCAGGTGTGCATGCTTTGCAAGTGCTGACGGCACTTGAAGCTGTTATCACCCGCGTACTCCATTTTGACGGCGTTACTCAACCGGAAATCCATCAGCGCCGGCCGGATCAGTCGTCCGTTGGCGCAGACAAACTGGATCGGCGGCGACGCAGAGCACAACTCTTCTGCGGGGATGGGCTGGCTGATATTTTCTCGTACAGCGCTGCGACCTGGCGAATAATGGGCGTCATACTCTTCCATCTTCTCCAGGAACATTACAAAATGCTGGGTACACAGTAAGTTGGGTTCGCTGACGAAGGTAATACGGCGGGCTTGAATATGGTCGGGATAGTTATGGTTGTCAATGGATACCACGCCTTTGTGGCATGTAACGTGGACATCGTCCGAGCTGTTGTGACCGTCGGCCACCGGTGTCACCTCCGCCATGGTGAGGGCAATGGCGTGGAGGTCGTTGATTAGCGTGCGGCAGACCAGAGTGCCGTCGCCGTCGAACACGGCGCTCGTGGTTTCCACGTTGTCAATTCTGTCGAACGGCAACACCAGCTGATTGCCAGCCGTGCAATAAGTCCGTAAAGACTCCATGTTTGCGCAGACTTCGACGGCGTTGTGCGTAGAAGCGGCTATCGTTGTGGTTGAGGGATACTTCGGGGTCGTTGCAGGTGCTGCTGTACGTGCGCCGCCTACATGTACAAACAGTTTCGGGTAAGAGCGCACGCTTCCCTCGCAACTACCGTCCATTTCCTAACTTTTGGTTCAAACTTACTCAGTAGTGAATGTGATTGTATGCGCACTGAGCGTATGTACTTGCTGTACTACCGCTGCTTACTGATTTTTAATGTGAATGCATTATGAATGTATGTGAGCGTACAGAGCCGAAGCACTCTCATTCTCTGTAAGGCGGTGCATAAGCCACGCCCCTTGTTTTCATCTCTGAACCAAAAATTAGGAAATGGACTGTAATTTAGCCAGTAGTAATACGAATAGTTACAAGCCCATTCAGGGCAAAGATCGACCCGTTTACGAGCTGATTTTATTAGACGGCGTACAAAAATGCAGACTACCGTATTTTTCGAATTAGAAGCCCTGGGCTTCTAAATTTTCAAAGGTGCCTGGGGAGAGGCTTATACAGCAGAGGAGGCTTATAAATTTTAAAGGCGGCTTTTAAATTTTAAAGGCGGCTTTTTTAAAGGCGGCGGCGGCGGCGGCGGCGGCGGAGGAGGCTTTTAAATTTTCAAAGCCTTTAAACTAGCGTAATCGCTATACACCGTACATAGAGAGAGGCTTCTAATACGGAGGAGGCTACTAAATTTTCGAACTAAGGTGGGGGGAGGCTTATACGATAGAGGAGGCTTTAAATTCGAAAAAAAAACGGTATATTACCTTTAATTTGCCTTGTTGATTCAGTTGCCTTAGACAAATTAACGTTTCAGTATTTAAATTCTTTATTCTACTGATCTCTTTTAAATTTTTGTTGTTAGATAAACCATTGATACGTAATGGCTTGGTACAGTGGTTAGTCCACATGTGTTTAAATAATCCTGCATGAGCAGGTGGGTGTGTTTTTAAATAGGCGTCCACTAACATTCGCTAGCGATGCCGGGGAGATTTCCCGTTGGATTCCCGCTGTCCCACGACAATGGCTGCTTGCGTACTCCACAATGAAAGTCAACCAGGAAGCCGTGCCGTGATCGGCTATGGCGTACTCCTCGCATCCATTCTACTAACGGCTTCATGCTGCAACATGAGCACGCTTCGTCTCCTGGACAAAACGGATTATTACGGATGTCGAATATACGCAAACTGGTCGCATTCAGTGTGGCCAGGATCTCGCCCGGCACGGTTTCCAGCTCGTTTTTCGCCAGGTCCAAAATGGCTAGCGCATCGAGGCTAAAATTGACTGGCTCCAGTAGTTTCAGCTTCTGCAGCCCGGTCCTACCGTGGGATGTATAATACACATCTGCTTTCTGCTGGCGCAGATGGATTTCCTGCAATGTCAAGCCACCACAAGATATAGTGGTAAGTAGTGTTTCGGGATGTTAGTGCATGCTACGGAATATATCCAATTAGCCGTAGTAAATAATATCCTAATAGACAACACAACTCTTACAACTATCCGTAATACGTTGAACACCCTGCTTGGCCTTTTCCGCGGTAACGACGTAAATACAGCACGACAGCTTGCCGCTTCGAGGCCAGAAACCGGTGTCTGGCTTAACGCGTTGCCATCCGCACATATTGGTAACCTATTCGACGATGATACTCTGAAAATTGCAGTGGGGCTTCGAATCGGTGCAGGTATTAATTTGCGAACCGCACGAGTCGCAAAAAGGTCGACGCCTACGGTCACCACGGCATGTCATGTTCGTTTTCAGCCGGTAGACATGTACGCCATGGCGGAGCCAATAGCATCATATTTTGTCGGGCGTGTGTGTCCGCCGGCATTCTGCCAAATTGGAACCACGAGGGACATTGCACACTTCCGATCGTCGCCCTGATGGTTGCACGACTTTTGCATGGAAGCGTGGATTATGTGCTTGGCTTGGTATTTGTACCTTACACTGGCGCCTTCTCCCATCAAGGTCACTTCCGTCAACCCGTCTTCCGTCGCAGTGCAGGCGGAGGAAAGAAAATTTGGATTGTACTCGTAACTTGAAGGCCGGTACATTTTCGTACCTATCGCCTTTGAAACTCTAGGCCCGTGGGGCCCTTCGGCGATCGCCATCATCAAAGAACTAGGAAAGCGACTGAAATTACATACCGGAGAAGCACGATCTTATGCATTTTTGTGTCAACGCTTATCTCTTGAAATTCAATAGTGTAATGCAGCATCCGTTCTTGGGACAATGGAGGGATTGGAAAGTTTCACTGAGATTTTGTTGTTATAATTTATAAAAACCGTATCTGTGTTGTTAAATGAATAAAATTATCCCATTATTTAACGTTACGGATAATCAGTTTACCATACAGAAAGGATAATTAGTTTACCATGTTGGACCATCACGCTTGTTACAGTAATTCGGACCTCTACAAGGCGGGTGATTAATTTCTTGTGCAAAGGTACACCGAGAATTACAGAATTGATGGGTTTCGTTAAGCTCCATACTCCATAACACGCCCGTTACGCCACATTCTTTATACACACAGCGTCGCGTGCGCCGCGCCCATTTGGCATGGCTGATGCACGTCAGTCGTCAAATATGATAGCGTATATCATAATATAATTATGTATACTCACAAAATCGAAGGATTTTAATTCCGTGTAGAAATGCTTAAAATAATCACTACTGTTTTAATACTGTGTTGCTGCGGTCTAAGCGGCAGCATCAGCTGTAATAATTATATACTCGTACTGTACAATCTATATACTTCAATGCCTTCATGCAAAAAATTCATCACCGGGCACACATGAGTGCAGCGAGACTCATTGTCCATATATGTACGGTACGAGTATACGATATCTGGTATCCTCTAAATTAGAGTTTTTGGTCACACCCACTGGACCATTGCCGATGAAATTATTTTTCTAAGTGTTCCCATATTTTTATATACTGCCTTCAAGCAAAAACTAATTTTTTTTCATGGCAAAAACTAAAATTTTTCTTTTGTGCCTCTGACCGGTCTCTGGTGAGGGCGTGCTATTTTCCCACTAGAACTATGTAGCACTGTTCTCTGGAGGTCCTTACCTGAACAGACAGAGTGACAGGCTGGAATGTTGACCAGTCGAGAGACTCCAGTCTATTCTCGCTGAGATCCAACACCTGTAGTTTCCTGCAGCACTGCGCAAAGGTATCCCGGGCGATTACCGTGATATCATTGTCATCTAACCACAGCTTTTCCAGTGCCGTGAAGCCTTGAAGAAACAGCACATCCAGGTGGCCGATTTCGCTGTCTTGTATAAGTAACCGGCGGATTTTATGCCGGATGTCATAAAAGATCTCGCGGATGGGTAAACGGACACCGTTAGCCAAACGGAATCGGCGGATGGATACCATGTACAGCGCCGGTAAATTGCTGACTTTCAGGTCGCCGATATCACGCCAGCGGATTTCGCTGCGGTTAAATATCTGTGGAGTTGATAGATGCAGACCGTGCGCGTGACGATTGATCTTCCCCAGATTTAGATTATCCGGGACGAAGAACTGAGCGCCCGAGCAATCCTGTATGCGCGTGTAGTTGTTATAGGTGCATTGCGGATGAGGCGAAAGACCGCATGCTGTCGTCATAAAAGTGCACAGCAAAAAGCCAATAGAAAATATAGCGAATCTGTGCATTTTTTGGTAGTATTTCAACATAGGCCAGTGTTCATCATAAGCGTCACTTGGCAGTTTCTCCGAGAACTTATTTTAAAAATAAGCAAGCATGGCATCACGCTGGAAAACTGGCACTGCCGGCTCAGCAGCGTGTGAACAAAGCGCGATAATATCGCCAAACAGTTTACGGTAGTTGTTGGTGTTGCGCTTAAAACACTACGGTTATCGGCCCGACAATCGGCAGATCTGGTAAAGCCTAACGGTGTTCTGAGGGATGGACCGAACTCTGCCCCATATCGCTGAGTGAGCTGTCGACAGTGTTAGAGCGAAAGTGTTATTCCAAGTCACTGGAAATGCACTGAAAGCGCCACAAAGGCACAAACGTATGTGCACTGTTGCGTCTTTCACCAACCACCATTTCCAGACTATCAGGAAGCCGGGCGAAAAGTCCGGGCGAAAAAAATAAATAAATAAATGGTGATACGCTGAATCATAAATATAAGCTAGAGGCATTTATAGAATCCCGCTGCTTGACCAGCAGCAGTGTCTTGTTTTCCATAAATGCTGCCACTGCTAGTTGCGTGAGAAAACTTGATACATCCGAAAATGGAAATTAATTTAGCCAGCTAAAGGTTAATTGCAAACAGCTGTCGCACTTACCGTATGTCGCTCGCGTTTATATTTATTTTGAGCTTTGCTTTAATTGAGCTCTGTAACTCTAATTTTAATTATTGGTTTTTATTCGGCAACAGCCAGTGCACATATCCGTAAGCTTCCGCAGATTTACACTAGCTAAAATTATTAATATTCTAACATTGAAAAAACACCCAAAGTCATTATTGTCGTTCGGCATCTTAGGACGCGCACTCAAAGTACCCAAAACGGCTGTTGCATTTCCTCTTACTACGGCCAAACTAAACCGCCTCTAACTACCGCCAAGAAATCACTACTTTTGATTGAATTTCTAGCGATTTCCGCAGTAAAGTGGCTATCAGCTTCGCGCTCAACGGCGTTGAGGAAGGTGTCTGTTAAACGCAACACCGGTGCCAAATGCCTTGACGATGACACTGCGAGCCCGAAGTGGGACGAGGAAAACCGTTATGGTAATGTACCTATGGGACAGCTGGCCACCGTACTTAAATACGACCATTGGAATTACTTTTTCCGTACTGTTTGGGTCGAGTCTGTTTTCCAAATGTGGTTGCTATTTCTTTTCATTGGACAACAGTGTAAATCAGTATGTGATAGGGCTTAATCTTTCTCGTTTCACACCGTTGCCGACGCAATCTCCGACATTAGCGGCACACTCGGATTTTCCGACCCATAGCATACAGAGTTTATGCAAACTGCCGATTACATATTTATAGGTTATCAATAATTACGCAGATTATAATAATCGGCCGGTCGATGATCCCGGTAACGTTTTGGCTGCACAATGTGTCCCCCCCCTGTTCCCACATGCGCGTCGCTTTCCAAGGAGTAGGACCGAATCTCCTCAGAAATCAGGGCGTATGTGGGCGCATGGATTGTGCGTATTGAGTGAAGTAATTAAATTTATTGCGATGATATAGCCAGTTTCGTTCGATTTAGCCGTGCTTGCCGTGACGCATCGTTGATGATTAATTTGGCACTTGGCATCAGCAGCAGCTTGCTCGTTATTCGGATTAGTGATTGGTCTTTCTTGACGCAGCAACTCCGACATTTAAAATTACTATGGTTGATTGCCAGTTTTCCGTTTAGGAAAGCTTAAACGCATTGTGGTGTATCAAAAGTCTGGTTACCACCCGATCTTCTTGAAACTTTGCTGTAAAAAGCACATGGCCATAAAGTCGAAAGTGAACCCAATTCAATTTCATAACACTTTACCATTATTTTAGAATAATGTAAAAATGTTGAAATTCATTTTAAAACTGGAAAAAATGCTATGAATATTGAAGCGTTCAGCGTGACATGTGTGGTTTGATCAGTGTGGCTGACCACACTGATTACAGTTGTTTGAGATTGCGGTTAACTGTCTGATGTGAGATGATTTTTAATTGAGTTTTCGCCGGTCTTACGTGACGGCAATTAATTTTGCTAATTGAGTTCTTGATTCGGATTAAACGTGTGAGCCTTGTGGCAGTGTGTTTGAGTTTGTTTATGACCTTTCCTTAATTCGTGCATTACCACCAGCACTGATCAATTGACTACAGTGCTATTACCGCATTCGCATACCAGCGTGTACTAATAATTACCATCAATTACCGCTAATTACCAAACGATGGCTACCAGAGCTGAAATTTTTGCACAACTAAATGATACGCAGATTCTCTGAAGCAGCTCAAGAAGCTATGCGAATTCTTGCGTATCCGACCTGGTAATACCAAAAACCTGACGAAAAGCGATATTGCTGATCACCTGCTCGCTCAGAAAATTACCCTTGCAAGTGTCGTTGAACGCATGCCGAAAGATGCAGAACCGTTGTCCAAAAATTCCCGTAAAACTGCTGATACTACGTCGAAATCGACCGAAGCAGCCAAAGCTGCCGAAGCTTCCCAGAAGCAGCCGGTTAACACCGATGTTCGCTCCGCTGCGGATCCGGACAATCGGACCGGTAGCAGCAAGGATGCTGATTCTCGTACAGTTACCGATACAAGTACCGATACGAGTGCGAGTACCGAACGGCATCCCGCAAACGAAGATGTGGAAGTAATCAGTGATTCACCGAACCGAAAGTCCCGAACCGAATCAGAATACCGTACATTTTTAGGCACACTTAACGATGATGAAAAGCGTGTGCTTGATAACATTCTCTTGATGCATGAAGAAACCGTCCGTCGAGATATCGAGAGCGAACGTAAGCAGATGCTTGATCGCTTCGATCATCTTGAGCGTGACCGTAATTCTGTATCAATGTCCCAGCTTGTTGAAGCTTTGTCGAAGATGAAGCCTAATACCCAGTCCTCTTCAAGTACCGTTGATTCTCATAAAGTTTCCGTGAAAGATTTCCGTATTCAGAAATTTGCGAACAAGTCCGAACTAATTATTACCGATTTCTTCCGGCAATATGACCGTGCTACCAACAGTCTTGGTTGGTCAGCATCGAAGAAGATTCTCATGCTACCTGCATACCTCGAAGATTCCCCTCGCAAGTTCTTTGAGTCTATGTGGGAAACCAATCAGAATACCGGCTACGATGGATGGAAATCCATCTTGGTTAAGCGATATTTACCCGCTGATTATAAGCTCAATAAGCGAATTGAATTGTCCCAGAAAACTTTCCGACCTGGCCAAGATGTTGATACATTCTTTGACAAACTACAGGTCCTGTTCGATGAAGTAAACCCATTAATGTCCGAAGACGATAAGATCGCTGAAATTACCCGAGCATTCATGAATATACCAGAATACCGCAAGTTACTGGCAGTTACTGATGCCAAGTCAGTTGATAAGATGCGATTGGTGCTAATCAAGATCGCTAATATCAATAAAACCGATACTCCCGTTGTTCAGAATGTTACCTGTGACAATGCTGAAGTGAATTTCATGAAAAATAATTCCCAGTCTAACTACCGTGGCAGAAGCCGTTCTCGTGATAACCGTGATCGAAACCGTGAACGTTCTGATAGTTCGAAGTACCGTGATTACAAACGTGACCGCAGTCGCAGTTATGACCGTAATCACCGCAGTAATCGAACTTATGCCCGGCAGTTTCGCGATAATTTGTTCCGTGATCGCAGAGATTCCCGTGACTATGACCGTAACCGTGACCGTGACCGTTCTCGTGAAAGGTCCCGTGACCGGGACCGATCGCGAAGTTCGGATCGTTACCCCACCCGTCGCAGGTCTAATTCCCGTGAGCGTCGTGATGCACCGGTGGCTGAATGGAGATTCCCTCGAAACGAACTTGACTTTGAAAGCTACCGACTACGGTCTGGTAAGCTGTTCTGCCCCGTGTGTCTCGATTACCTTCATACCTTTAAGCAATGTACCAAAGCGAAACCACAGGACCTTGAGCACGTTGAGCCGAAGTGCCCTCGTGGTGTGCTGTACCGTGTTCAGAAAGAATACGATGATTTCATTCGTGACAATTATACCCCTGATTTCTGGGAATCCCGTGAGGGAAAAGCCTAATGCCACATCAGAAAGGAAGTCAATGTGGCAGGTATTACCGAAAGCCTCCCTACCGATATGATGAGTACCGACATTTCAAGTACGGTGGTCAATTTCCTAACAGAAGTACCAATCAAAACGTTGATGTCAATGATTTCCCAGTTAGATTTTCCGATAGTTACGTGAATACCGTTAAAAGTGACCCTTTCCGTACCTTTGGGATGCCTGATATTGTGAAACCAGTGTATGCACCAGCAACCATCAATAACCAAAAGGTCATCGTGTTAGTTGATACCGGTGCTAGCTGTTCCATTATCAGCGAACACACAGATTCACGATTGCGTCTGCAATTTAGAAGGTGTGATTCCAAAGCTCCCAAACTGAACTTTACTACTATTTCCCAAACCTTTCAGAAGGATGAAATGTACCAGTCTGATATTACCGTTGAACTGAATGGCAGAACAATTCCCCATATAGTTTACATCATCTGTAACTCTCCGAGAGAATTTGTGATTCTTGGAAATGATTTCTGTAAAGCATCTGGTGTATGGATACATCCTAAGACCGATCGCTTATGCTTCGAAGAAGACCTAAAACCTGAACCTTCAAAAAAAAAACAGATTAACTGTGCGATCATTTCCGACCTGCAAGACTTGCATTACTCTCAGAAGAGTTTTGTACCTAATTACCTGCTGCGGCAAGTGTACATTACCAGTAATAAAGCAGTTTTAAGTCCCATTCCTGAAAATCAAGTCTCTGCTATTGTAAATACCGCAGTTGTTAACGTACCAATTGAAAACAAGACTGTGTCATTGGAAGTTCCTAAAACCGATGCTGTACAGTCTGTTGCCTTTCCAGTCGATACTACAGTACCTACGGAAGAATTTGTCAGTAAACTTGAAGCCGTAATCAATCATATTGGTCTTAAATGGGAGAAAACGAATGCTCTTATTCGGAATACCATAGTAATTCTCAAGAAATCTGGAATTAAACTTATGATTGATTTACCTGACAATTACAGTGGTCCTGTCTTGTTAAATCC